ACTGCCAGCTGACCAACATCTTATCAGGACTATGGCCTATCTGGAAGTGCTTCATGGACAAATCTCACTGTCTTGATGTCAAATGTATATGTAATGTGTCTATAAATGTGCTTGCGGGTAGAGTATTTTTATGTCTTAAATCTTGTCCTGATAGGACAAGATGTGAAGAGATCTTTTTTGTAAAACCACTATCCATCCTCATGGCATTTTATATCTAAAAAGTATTCTGAGTATTGCTGCTCCTGTAGCAGCAGTAACATGCACTCCACCCATCTTTCAGACGACTGTACAAACATAATCTCACTGTATCTCGGTACAATGATAATAAAGCTTATTCTGATTCTGAAAAATGTGTCCTTGTTCCACAGAAAATATTTTATTATGTGGGAGTTTTGGACCATCTAAGATGCTCTACTCCTCTGTGGTTTTGCAAGCAGATGGGTTTTTTTTGTGTGATTTTTATCCCATCTGAGAAATGTGAGGTCTGTTAAGATATTCAGTTAGTCTTGGTGCAGTAAAGTGTAGTTTTAAGATTTGTTTACAATCATTGTCTTGACATGAAATATTTATTCATATAACTGTCAGTTTTTTTATCTTGATGCTGTGATGTTTGCTGATTGGCTTCTTTTTCACTTCTGAAATGTGCATGGTGTTGGCTGCAACCCAAAACCATAGCATGACTGAGCCATGACCATGTCTAACACTTGGAGGTGTTCTTTTAGGCCCTGTTTACATATGAACAATCTGGAAATGTTAGTGTTTTCCAGTAGTGATTGATGAAAAGATACATGTTTACATGGTAATGCTGTGTTCTTAATTCCCCTGTAGCTTACAAGCCAGGTTTTGTTGAAACATGTGCATGGGCAGAGATGCTTCAGTCTCAAGCATGAAAACAGTTACATTCAAACTGGTGGAAACACTAATGTTGGTTTGGACCAAGGATGAGGTTGAGTTGCTCCTGCATGTTGAAAACAGGTAAGCAGCACAAACAGCACTCGTCTGTCTACTATTGTTAATGTTGTTCATCTACTTGCAAACATTCATTCAACCTTTATTTAGACAGGTAAATCCCATTGAGCCTCGAGGACTCATTTACAAGAGAGACCTGATTTCAACAAAGAATGATGACAACA